ACGCGGGCCGCCTCCTCAGCCGTAAGTAATGGCGTGGCGGCGCTGGGCCGGGCGTGTTGCGGGCCTCGTTTCGGGAGCGGTCCGGCGCGTGTTCGGCCCGCGGCCCCGAAGCTCGCTCCCGGGAGGGGATACAGCTAGCTCCTGGCTTGGCCCCGTAGCTCCTGGCTTAGCCCCGGGAACCCACGCTCACCATGCGGCCTCCCATTCCCCCACCCTCCAGCGGGTCCTGGAGCTTTGCGGCCCCGGAGGGGAGGGCACACCTGTCAGCCCTTAGAGGGGAGGTCGGGGAGCAGGTGTAGCTAGACTAAGGAGAGGCCGCCGAGCTGCGGACGCTTCGGGCCTGCGCTGCCTGCGGGCGAATTGGGGGTCTAGGAGTGTCGTTCACTCCCGGTCTCGGAGGTGGAAGGAACAGCGTTAACTGTATACATCTGGCTGCTGTCGAGGGCTGAATAATCAAACCATTAACACCCGGTCTGATGTGCACCTTCGGTCCCGTTGTCACTGCGGAAAGCCCGATTTAGTGGCGAAGATCAAAACAACAACAAAAGAACCCAAGCCACCCGGTGGCGGGCTGCAGCTACAGCCCGGCGCGTCTAGGCTGTTAAAGGGCCCTGGGCGGGGATTCGTGGAGTGGGCAGGTATCCTGCAGGAATCGGAATTTTTTTTTTCCTTTTGCCCAGCAATATCCATTGGTACAAATTCGAGCCACATTTCACTTCCCACAAGACTGGGAGGAAAAGCTATGCAAAAGGAATTAGGCTGAGGCGGTGTCCACGTTTCTTCTTTTTTTACTTGTAAAACGGTACCATTTGGAGTTACTTAAGAGAGAAGGCTACATCTTCACTCAGGATTCTTTTGCATGACACAGGTCTGAGCCGAGGGCTGAGTGTGGGCGAAATGGCCCTGGTGCCCTATGAGGACACCGCAGGAGTGGGGCTGCAGAAGTTCCACAAGCCTCTTGCGACCTTCTCCTTTGCAAACCACACTATCCAGATCCGCCAGGACTGGAGGCAGCTGGGAGTCGCAGCAGTCGTTTGGGACGCGGTAAGTAAACCCTGGGAGGGGGTGTCTCTGAAACATCCTCCTCTTGATGGTAAGATAGGTCTTTATTTAAACAAAACGAAACAAACAGCTTTTGGGGGGGTATGATTCACATTTCACACGTTACCTTTTTTTTTCCTTTTCTCTCTTTTTTTTCTTTCTTTCTTTCTTTCTTTCTTTCTTTCTTTCTTTCTTTCTTTTTTTTTTTTTTTGAGAG